ACAGGCAAGAAAGCGGTGTTAACATTTACAAAATACTGATAGATAAATATAATTGAAAATTGTAGATAATGTCTATTGTTTTGTCTTGTCGTTCCCTTTATCTACTGTTTGTAGCTGTTTACCTTTCATTTCATTTCGTCCTAGTTCTCGATCCACTCATCCACTGTTATTGTTATTATTGTCCCCGCGTTGTCACCGTGCTTTCCCGTAAGCCAAGCATATATATATATATATGCTTAGTCCTCAATACCAGCACTTTTGTTCTTCTTTAGCTAGCAATTCATGTTTTTATTTTATTTTAGTACTATATTCTCTCGACATTGTTTGTCGTATATCTGCGGAATTAAATAATCCAGCTCATATATTGTCGTTTTTTAAACTTTTAGATTTTTTAATCGTTTGGTTCAACTTACTTTCATCCATCACTCCCTTCGTCGACTGAAAATTGATGTCTTTTCGAATATATTTTCACTAGATTTACATATTCTGCCCATCTTCCACTTCCTCCCGGTCTAATAGATTCCATAATTATCACTTATCAGCATACTTCTGAACGAACCTGTTACATGCAATAGTTTTTCTTCTTAATTTCCATCACTATTCTTTTTCTTTGAGGTCAACATTGAACGGTATTGAATGCCTAACCGTGCATTACCACCCACGATTTTTAATTTTTTACCCATACACTTATAAATCAGTTGTACTTAACCCTTTTCTACACAAAGCTTGATAGCACTTCACTCCTTGATTCATATATAATTTGGATTGCTCCGCTGTAAACTATCATATAATCCCTGGGGGCTATCACCATATAAGTTCTTCTCCCTTAGGTGTGGCTTATTATCGTCCTTCTACAAAAGAATCAATAAAATATCACGGAACCGTTCTTTCTTTAGCACTAAAGCCCCGCTTTCTACTATCGGTTTCTGCCAACTCTCATATCAACGTAAAGCATACTCCCAGTGTGTTTAAAATTCCTTCTCCCCTTATAGCAACATAACTTTTCGTTCTCGCTACTTCCCGTCTACAAATGTTTCTCTTCTCAGAGAATCACTTAAAACACCTCTTGTGACTTAAATCTTCAGTTTTGATCCCTTTCAAAGATATTCCTGTTTTTACTTGGTTATTGTTGTTTGGAATTACAGTTACCCAGTTTAAACACCGGATCTCCAACGGTACGATAATCTCTTCCGTACTAAGATCGTTAGGGAGAAGAAAGTAAAGTGCATGAAAATTTCATAATCTTTTAATTGTCGGATATTTTTCAGGCTTCTGGATGCCGAATTAAAACGTTTATCTGCATCATTCTCCATTAGAATTCCGACTGGTGGTATAAGCATGCAATTGTACTGAATCGAAAAGGACAGAAATCCTCT